ATATGAACTTCGTGATAGTAAAAATATTCAAGAGCCGTTTTGCAAAACAAAAATTGACCAGTTTTGTATTTCTTATCGTGGTCCATTTCTTTGGAATAAAATAGTTTTACCTAACTTTGATTTTTCTTTGAAATGGTCTTATTCCTCCTTTAAAAAGAAAACAAAAGAAATAATCTTTTCAACACAAAATATATTTATTTATTTTTAGTGTTTCAAGTTATTTGATATTTTTGTCGACTGTGTGACGAATATTATTTAAACAATATATGCTGAATACTTTATATTATAATATTGTTCAATATTGAGAATGTTATATATCCATATTATAAAATATTATGTTAAAACTTGCTTAACATCTGAAGAATATTCTAACGCTTATGTAATTTTTAATATTTGTAAATTTTCTACCTTTTAATTCGTTATATAGATTGTAAAGGGCTTCATGATAAGATCATGTGATCTTCTGGAAGTCCTACCAGTAATATATTCAATGTAAATTTACCTTGTACATATTTTTCTGGAGAAAAAAAAAAAAAAATTAAAAAATGTCAATACCGGAAGCTGTGTATTGGTACAATTTCTCAGCTAACAAAAACGATGCACGCCCGATAGAGAAAATATACAGGTATCAAAGTAATTTGAAAAGATTGAGAAAAGATAAACTTCCGACAAAAGCTGACACAAATGAAGTGTTTAAAAATAGTGATAATGTTTGGTTGAAACCGTCAAATGCGAAGTGCCATACTAAGTGGCAGCCAGCAAAACTAATGGGAAATATTTCAAAACAAGTTTTATGATGAGCTGAATTTAGGTTATTTATTAAATTTTTGGAAAGAACCTATTTCAATCTATTGCACCTCCTAACATCAAGTGCAATCCTGTCCACTTTCTCTATGCTATCTTCTAACACGACTACTTCTGTTTTTCACTCTAACATATCTTCGTTCTTCCTAAACTCACTTTACTCTTGGTCCGTAGAGCGGGTTATGACGCTCCTTGGGGAGCCGAACCTGTCTTTGCGGGCCTTGGTAATGTGGCCTTTATATGGCAATTAGCCGGAGGAGGATAAACCCCAATACCAATTTTTGGAAAGAAAAGAAGTTTTGTTACGAGCAAGAAAATTACAATTTCAAATTTAAAACAACTGTAAGAATGTGCTCCGAGATGGAGATCTTAATTAAAACTATATTTACGTTATTGTAACTTTATGAAGGCATTATATAGAAAATAAGCGATAAGAACTTTTGTAGTTTATCTTTAAATTGGCGACGAAGATAAAAGAAAAAAATTAAAAAAAAAAAAAAAAAATTAACAAAGATTTTAGTAAAAAGCGTTCTTTACCAAACTTTCCACCGTTTTCATGTACTGAAGAAGCAAGTAATTTATTTTCAAGCTGGAAACGATACATTAAACAATTTGAGCTACTTTGCGATTCACTTGTAATTACAGACAATAAAAAAAAACTTTCGTTACTTCTAACTTTAATTGGAGATAACACTTACGAAATTTATGAAAACATTATACCTCAAGATACGCCAATCACATACCAACAAGCTGTCGAAGCTTTTAACGAATATTTCAAGCCTCAAGTAAACCTGAGCTATGAAATCTTTATTTTTTGCAAGATGGCTCAACGAATAGACGAAACCACTCAGCAGTTATTCGTTCGATTAAACGAACAAGCTATCAAATGCGAGTTTGCTGATAAGGATAAAGAAATTAAACAACAAATTGAGCTTTGCATAAATATTTCAAAACTACGGAAATACAGTTTCCAAAATCCTAACAAACCTCTACAGGACTTGTTAATTACTGCCAAAACATTTGAGCTGATGGACCATCAAATAGAAGAACTTGAGAAAGAAACGATAAAACAAAAAGAAGTAAACACAGTAAAGAAAACAAAGTTTCCACAAACCAGTCAAGCGCCAGATGAGACAGAAACTAAGTCGCTAAAAGGAACTTGCTACCGATGTGGAAACGAATTTCCACACACGAATATATGTTTAGCTTTGGGGAAATTTTGCCACTCCTGCAGGAAAATCGGATATTTTGCAACAGTCTGTAAAACTAGAAAACAAAACGAACAGAATACAAGAATGGATCAAGAGAAATACAAAAGAAATGAAAAAGGTTATACGAAATTATTAAATACAATTTACAAAGATACCAATGAATCCGAAAATCCTCAGTCAATGTTAAACGAAGGAGAATTATACTCTGTCAATGCTAAACAGATATCTAACGACGGACTTGAGAACTTTGAGGTAACAATTAACATAGAAAATATACCAATAACCGTTCTAATAGACACCGGAGTTTCGATAAACATTCTAAACTTTAAAACATTTGAAAAGATAAACAACTTCCTTAAAAACCACTTCAACTACAAAAATTTAAAACACAGGTTATTACTTACGGGGATAACAATCCAAAGTTCAAAATAGAAGGACAGATTAATGTCGTGATAGAAAGTCAAACCAAATTTCGTCAGTCCACATTCCACGTGGTTAAAACACACCGCAAAAATCTGTTATCTGGACGTCAATAAGAAACTTTCAAACAAAGGCCAAAGAGAACAAAATAACCATGACGACAGTAAACAACAAGTTTGCCATTCTTTGCAGAACTTAAGCAAATTAAACATTACTCTCCTTCTAAACGCTCCAAAACGATTAGAACCACTAATAAACTCATACAAAAAAATCTGTTTTTAGCGGTAAAATAGGAAAACTCTCCAACTACCAAGTAAAATTGAAAATTAATGAAAGTAAAATTGAAAATTAATGAAAATTAATGAAAGACTACCAGTCGCACAACCAGAAAAAAGAATTCCTTTTGCACTTGGAGAAAAGGTTAAAGTTGAACTTGCAAAACTTGAATCAGAAGGAATAATTGAAACGGTAACAGACGAAGCGACACCCTGGATAAGTCCAATAGTAATTGTGCCAAAAAATGACGGCAACCTAAGAATTTGCGTAGACATGCGAGCAGCTAACAAAGCTATTGGAAGAACGCGTTTTCCAACTCCAACCCTGGACGATGTTATTATAAAACTAAAAGACTCAAATTAAACGTTTTAAAAGACTTAATTTTGGAGTAAACTCCACGCAGGAGGAACTACAAGACGCTTTACGAGAAGTTTTAAAAGATATAGAAGGTACTTTAAACATTGCCGACGATGTTCTAATTTTCGCTTCGAATACAAAAGAGCACGATTTAATATTACATAAAGTATTAGAAAGATTTAAACAGAGAGGTTTAACTCTAAATTTTAACTCTAAAAAATGCTTATTTGGAAAAGAAATAGTTAAATTTTATGGATTTATATTTTCAAAAGAAGGAATGCAACCAGATCCGGAAAAACTTTATAATATCAAGAACATGCCAACACCAGAAAACACTAAAGCTCTCCAAAGTTTTCTCGGGCTTATGAACTATTTTAAACGTTTCATTCTACACTACAGTACAATTACTTATCCATTTAGAAATCTTCTGCATAAAGATTCCTTATAGAACTGGAACCTTGAGTGTCAGCATGCATTTTACAAACTAAAAAACGCCATGACATTGGACTCATGTGTCGGATAATTCGATCCCAACAAAGAGATTACTGTCTTAACCGATGCAAGTCTTGTAGGCATATCGGCAGTTATTGTTCGAAACACTCCAAATAAACAAGTATTTAAACTAATATCTTATAATTCGAAAGCGCTATTGCTTGTACAACAACGCTACTCTACGCTCGAAAGAGAATGTTTAGCTATAGTTTACGCCTGCGAGCATGACAAAACATATCTATTTGGACACCCTTTTAAAATGTACAGCTACCATTAAGCCATTGTAAAGATTTTAAACAACCCAAACGCTACAGTACCACTTCGCATTGAGCGTATGACTTTACGATTACAGGGCTATTCTTTGGATCTACACTACGTAAATGGAAAAAATAATATATCTGATTATTCTAGTCAACACCCTGTAGACCCTTGTGAGAACGAAGGGCTAGAAAAATATGTCAATTTTTCAACCACTGGTTATTCAAAGAGAAACTAAAGCTGATCCTATTCTACAAATACTTACAGAGTCAATTACTATTAATACCTGGCATAAACTATTACATCCGAATTGTCCGCCAGAACTAAAAAAATTTCAAAAAGACTTACTTGCTTACCGTAATATACGCCAAGAACTTAGAGTAAATCAGACTTTAGACCTTATTCTAAAAGCAAATCGAATTGTACTTCCACATTCTCTGGAAATTACGGCTATACTGCTTGCTCATAATAGTCACATGGGACTTGAAAAAACCACATCATTACTTAGTTAAAAGTTTACTTTCCTGGCCTAAACACTAAAGTAGAAGAATATATAAAACGATGGGCAGTTTGTCAAGCCATTGGTAAACAAAAGGCACCAGCCGAACTATTAATCACACAAACACCAGAGGAAGTTTGGGACACCGTTAATATAGATTACCTTGGTCTTTTACTTAATAGATTTTGTTGAATAGTCCTTATAGACCAAACATCAAAATTTTTTTGAAACAAGGTTTTAATTAAAGTAAATTAGGATTTTTTTTCCTTAAAATACATTATTTTAAAGCAAAGGAATCTACATGTAATAACTTCCTTCCTTTAAAAGAATATTCATCTTTTATGAATAAATCTTCAATATTATTGAAAGATGATGGAGACAATTATTATTTTTTCAAATATATTAATATTAATTTTGCTGCTTCAAATATAAATTGACTAAACTATAGTCTTAATAGACAGTGATCACGGCGACGGGGAAAGGTTAGGAAGGGCGAGAGGAATAAGAAACGTCAACTTTTTGGCTAGTGTTAGAAGTAACATATTAAATCTAACAAAAACTATAAAAATAACATTAAAACTTATGTCCCTCCCCCCTCACTCCTTCTTTCTATATAAAAACCGGCGCCGCGATCCTTGTTTGAAAACCGATTTGTCATAAGTCACAAAAAATCATATGCATTATTTTGTATAAATATTAATTCTAAAGGTATTTAATGTTGAGGATACATTAGGATATTACAAATATATATGGCTTTCATAAGAGAGCAAACTAATCACAAGCAACATTTCGTTTCATTACCAGATTACAAACACATGCAGGTTTATCAATATGGATGAGCCAGTTGATAAGTTACATCTACATCAGGTTAAAAAAAATTAAATTAGACATCAATTAAATATTGCTTTTTATTTAGTAGAAAGTAAAGAATAATGCTAAAAAATGTGCACAGAGAACACCATAAAATAATTGTTTTAAAATAAAAGTAATACAATTTAAAAGGTTATAAAAAAATTTATAAATGAATAACGTTCGCTTATGTTAATAATTAAAGTCGATAAAAAATGCATCAACCCTTTAATTGTAGCAGTAAACTTATATTTGCAGTATATATTTAGTCTGATTTAACAATAGCTATTTCTATGAAAAATAAAAATAGCACTAAAAGCATACAAATATTTTGAATTATTGTAAGACTACTGATGTTAATTATTACGTTTAAGTTGAGCCTAGTATCAAAATAACAAAACTGTCAACTTAATTTCCAAACAAATGGGACACCTTAATAAATATTAGTTACATAAAGTTAATAACAATAGTTAAATTAAATAATAACAAAATAAAAATAAACAATAAATAAATAAAAATAATAACAAATATCTGAGGCAAATAAATTATAATTATGTAAATTTAAAAATTAATAATACTAAACCATTTTAATAAAAACAGTAATCAACAACCTTAAGCTTGATTACTAAATCTCTTATCAACTCTTATAAAGCTCTATAAGTTCTTATAAAATACTTTCATCACTTAAAGAACAATAATAAATCACACAAAAAATCATTATTATCACATGAAATTTTTTCCAACTGTTCAGTTGTCCTGAAATAAAGATAAGGACAAAGCAATATGGTTAAGGGCTGAAGACTCTTTAATAAAAAATTTATTAAAGAGTCTTCAGTCCTTAACCATATTGTGTATTAATATCAGTTGCACAATGCAGCAGTAATAATTCCACCAGTTAAAATTAAGTTAAAAATTGGTAACATGTAACCCAGTGCAACCTACCCCATGTCCTGCTGCCTAGTAGACATACCAAATATCTATTTTTGTGTTTTCCTATGTATGTTTGTATTTTGTCTCTGGTGCAGTGCTGGTTCACCTGTAAGGCACTATATATATGTATATACAGGTATATTATTACCAAGGTATATCGGACTACCTATGATTAAGTCAATTAAAGATAAAACATAAACATGACTAAAGTACTTTAAAACGTAAAACACAAAAAACTGCCATCAGTTTTTTGTGTTAAAACACAAAAAACTGCCATCTATTTCCTTAAATCTATTTTTAAAAACATTCAAGGTCATTGTTGTAGCTTTTCATGTGTTGAAACTTACCTACTGCAAAATTCACCAGACCTACTTGTTTTTTGAAGACCAATTTGATTTCAGTTGTTTTATAATTGGATTTCAGTATTGGCAATTATCTTTTGATATGTAAAGAATGCAATAGTTGCATGCTTGGCCTGTACGGATACTTATGAATCAATTTGCCTATTTGTAGCAACATTTGAACCCACTGATTATGCATTTATGTGCTTTTGCTTACTCATCTACCTTTTTCTTTATACTTTATCGTTCTCCTCCTTTCCAAGACTGTGCTATTTCTGATGTTATTTCTCATCGAATTGACAGAGCCCTTTCACTTTATCCTTCAGCCAATTCATTGGTGATTTCAATTCTTATCATACTGATAAGCTCGACTCCACTAAGCCTGCTATCATTGTTCAAATTTTTTGTTTTTATCTCTTACTCAAATAGTCAGCTTTGTGACTCATTATCCAGACAATCCTAACCACTTATCATCTTTCCTTGATTTCTGTATTGTCTATGTGCCTAATTTGTGTTAAGTTTTTTTTTGTTCTTCTATTGGTTGTTTGGACCATGCTATAATCTCACTATAACTTATATCGCTTACTTCTTTTTTAGACTCACCCTATCATTACACTTTATACTACTATTTTAAAGCTGACTGAGATAACTTTCATGACTTTTTTTGGATGGTCTTACGGCTGATGTCTATCGCCTCTACCTTCCAACATAATCTACTGGAATCAGATAGGCATTGAAGCATTTATTTTCTCTTTGGTTTCAAGTAAGCTGGAAATCAAAGGGATTTTCCCTACGTGTGCAGTAGTTATTATTTTTCTCTCTTTTACGGTTGTCGATATTATACATAATACATCTGCTGACCTCCTTATTGATTTTCTACAGAAAACGATTGCAGTTTATGGAATACCGATAACGATTGTCAGCGATAATGGGCCACCTTTTACTTCATTCAAAATAAAGATGTTTTTGAACAAACTGAATATTCAACATAAACGAATCACCCAGCTTTGGCCGCAAGCAAACTCACAAGCCAAATCCTTTATGAAACTACTGATTAAAACAATACGAGCAGCACACATTGAACGGAAAGACTGGAAAAAGCAATTATACAACTTCCTGTTTTCCTACCGTACCACACCCCATGGCACAACCCGAATTCCACCATCTACACTCATGTTTTATCGCGTTACAGGTTTTACAACACCTTCATTCCAAACAAGGGTCGATACAAATATCAATGATCAAGCCAAAAAGAGACAAGAAAATGCTAAGTTATACATAAAAAAACATTACGATTTAAAATACCACGCAAAAAATCCAAGTTTAAATATCGGGGATACAGTGGTGGTAAAACAAAAAAAATATAACAAAATTACGGCAACATTCGAGATCAAGTTCTACACAATTACTGCAAAGAATAGTACAATGATCACTGCAAAATCTCCCGTCAACAACTCTCAAAAAACTCGAAATGCTTCACACATGAAGAAAGTACCAACGGATATACAATTTAATCTGATACCAATTAAAGAAGAGAAAGATGAAGAATACCTCCAGAACGAATCAATTTTGCCAGAAAAGGAAATAACAGCTACTATGCCGACACAACTAAGAAGCTATCATCAAGAACCCATTCTGAAGACATATCCTAAGAGAGAAAGACGTCCTATAGAATTATGGAGGAAGTATTAAAACGTTATAAAACACAAACAGTAAAACACTTCATTTACAGAAGAAGGGGAAGATGTAAGAATGTGCTCCGAGATGGAGATCTTAACTAAAACTATATTTACGTTATTGTAACTTTATGAAGGCATTATATAGAAAATAAGCGATAAGAAATGTTGTAGTTTATCATTAAAGCAACGATTTAGTGCTAATAAACCTGGTCGTGCAATTATTTTTGATGACGGTAAAACCACATTTGTTTGGGCAACTAGCTGATTGGATTGATTTTTTGAATTTTTGTTATATTTATTTTTTACTTTATCAAAACAAGTATCATCTGCTCTTATCACAACTCTGCATTCTCAAGCAATGTCTATAGACGAACTTATCGAAGAAGGATATTTGAATGTGCTTACTTCACGACTTCAAAGTGACCTTATAAAGCGTAGATTTTCTCAATATCGATAGATAAGTGGTGGGAGATGTTCAACATTCAGAAATTTTAGCATGACTTTATTTAGGAGAATGTTAAGTCTTGGGATGAAGATTTAAAGAACAATTATGATGACCCAACTAATGATGAATTACTAATAACGTTAGATTCAAACTCAAATGAGATATTTAACTTTATCACCTAAAACAGAAAAAGTTGCAACAACAATTGTTGGTTATATAGAAAAGAAATTAAAAAAAGAATCAAATGTAGCAATTGTAAGTTTATTCCTGCTACAGATGCAAGCAATATAAATACTTATCCATATCTAAAAATACTTTTACTAGGTGGTCTTAGTGTGCCTTCACTTTTATTTAAGGATTTAACATGTGGATGTTTTGCAGTCTTAGGTAATCTTTCAAACTTAATAACTAAACAAGGTTCTTATATCAAAGATGTATCAAGCTTTGTTTTATCAATATACTTTCCAACAGTTTGCTTTACTTGCAATTTACATAAAGGATGGGAGTTCAAATTTGCTTTTAAAATTATAATTAAGGTGGTAGTATACCATAAAATGTGATTTTTTTTCTTTTTCTTTTTCATTATTAAACTAATATAGCAGTATTTGACTTACTGATTGATTTAATTAAAAAAAAAAATGCTTCCAACATTAAAATCAGTTTAGAATGTATTGGTATGAAATATATAATTTTTCCCTAGCAACGCTTTGTTTTTTTCCGTTTTTATGTGCTTTAGAAACAAGTTAAACTATAAACAGCCACACTTATCAGTTGTATAAAGTGAAAAGTTGTATTCTACAACGACTTCTTATTTATTAGTTTAATAACGTGTCTTTAAATGACCCCAGTTTCTTTTATGCTTTATTTTTTATGCTTCAGTCAGTTTCAAATTAAATCAACTTAATTTTTATAGTATCTTTGTTATCTTTTTCAAATGATTATATTATGGGTGGATCAAAAAAAAAAAAAACAATTATCGAACAAAATACACAATAATAAAAAAGCTAAATTTCGTGAAAACAGACACAAAAATAATCCTTCTTAAAAACAACATTTTTATCCTTTGTTAAAACAACAACACAATCTGTCTCCTCAAAAAAATTAAATATTGCTGATAGAGCCTTTAATGATCTTCATGATAGAGATTTTAATTTCGTTGTAAACTTTAATATATTGGAAAATGTAATATTGTTACTGAAATGCCCAAATTTGTGCAAAGATAATGTATATTTATTGTTTGATTCTTCAAAAAAGTATGGTTAGAGCATTGGATTAAAAGTATGTTGTAACAGTTGCAATTGGAAAACTAAATTTTTTCCATCTAATACATTTTGTAAAAAAACATTAGTTAAACAACAAAAGTTTGGTAAAGACGAATGCAGTGGACAAAACCATTTGATATTAACACACGTGCCATTGTGGCCTTTCGTGAAATGGGTAAAGAGTTATCATCATTAGAAAAAATTTGTGGAAAAATAAATATGAAACCACCTATGAATAAAAGAAGTTACAACACAACGCTGCATAACCCGTTGGATGTTTACAACCTCTACTAGAATTAAGTTTACAGCTTATCGTGTTCTACTTTTGTGTTCGCTTTTGTGTGCTCAAATAGCACTAAAACTTCCAAAAATGACTAAAATGCATATATTTTGACTTTTTTTATCAAAACCCAAAACATTTAGTGTATGTTGAAATTGCATAAGTAATAGATCACCTACAAAAAATTCAGTTCAAACTTATTAACTGTTGCTAAAAAACCTTGTCGCCAGTTGTTCAGTTTTGGCCTTTTGTCAATCAATAGTTATGCACATAATTAATTTTTTGAAATTTTAACATTTTTACTCTTATTTTAATAATAAAATATATTTTATGTACTATTAAAAAATAAAAAAAAGTTGAAGTTCACAATTTTTTTTTAATGGTATACTGCCACCTTAATGTCTTATTTAAATATAAGCAGAAGATAATCAAAGCCACTAAACAAAAAGATGCTGTTAAAAGTTTTAAAAGTAGACAGAGAAAAAAATAATATTTAATATATATATATATATATATATATATATATATATATATATATATATATATATATATATATATATATATATATATCATAAATAGATTATAACATAAAAAAAGAACAGAAAAAAAAATACAAATTTTAATCTTTTTTTTTTGTAAGTTCCCAGTGTTGTGAATTTAAATGTGTAATTTTAATTAATTATATATATATATATATATATATATATATATATATATATATATATATATATATATATATATATATATATATATATATATATATATATATATATATATATATATATATATATATATATATATATATAATATATATATATATATATATATATATATATATATATATATATATATATATATATGCATATGTTTATAAATACATAAATCGCTAGCATGAAAGCACAAAATGCCAGTTTTCGTAAATACTTTTTTAATCATAATACTCTTACTCGTAATATTATATTTGTACTATTTGTTTAGTCTAGATGAGATATAATTATATGTTTTCTCTATTGTTGCGCAGCCATCATTTTTTTTATAGGCCTCGTAGAATGGGCCTCTAAAATGTAACATACACGTCCGTGTAATATGCTATGTTTAGTAGTAATAGTAGGCTATGGTTTGAAACACAACCAGATTTGAAAATTGGTACAACTTTTATAATTTTAAGTTTTTCATGATAAACGCTAAATAGTGGAATAGCTATACTTTTTTATTGATTTTATAATGAC